TACCGACATCCCAGTCTGGCGCGCGCGATCAGAAGGGCACTGAACACAAATATACAGCCCTCGCATGGTACGTATATGAAATATCGCTCGATGCATCTCTTTTACGGCCATATGTATGCATGAATGTGGGATGTGTTCGTATAACACATTCTCTAGGCCCGAGCTGTCCAGATGAATAATGAAGATGTATAACTTTCGATTGAAAGAACACATTTCTAGGCTCGTTCAGAATGAAAAGTTTCAAAAATGCTCCTGATGGCTTCTCCGTGTTTCCCTCTCTCTTTGTCAACAAATCTAGAATTGCAATATGTATTTTAATTACATTGATATTGGCAAATTAGAGACATTCTAGTCTTAGCTAATGCGAAGGTTTCGATAGCAAGTGGACAGATATGAGATTTGTGTCCCAACACACTTTTTGTGTCTTGAAATATTGTTTTTCTGCGTCGTCTCAGCTCGAGAAACATTCGACTGACTTCGGTAATACAGTGAAACCTCTATCCATCGTTCCCCGAACTATCGTTTTCCCGCATGCATCGTCCGTTTTGTTCGGTCCCGGATACATCCCATACAAAATAATGTTACATTTTCCCGCATCTATCGTTCCTCGAACTATCGTGTGTTTCCTATGATGACAGCCAAATATATTCCAGATGTACCTGATTTACAGAGGTTGGACGTGTCTAAATGTGACGTTACCGTGGATATGTATACATAATGTATATATTTCTGACAAAGCGGATCTTTGTAATATCTCGATATATTTCAAAATGAAATTTTCTCATTTGTACTAATAATTCTTATGCGTAAGCAGACATCAAATGGAATACAACAACCACAATTTCGGGAACAAATGCATAAGTGACGTGAGCCGAGATTATTAGAGGTCAACAATAAGGTAACCAATGTAAAATTTTTGAAGTGTAAAGCTATGGTAGTGACTCAAACACAAGATTGTTCTATAATGTGAGAACATTGAAATATTTGATTGTTTAATATAACGCAATCGAAATTAGAACTCATACAATGCCTTAACATAGATAATTTGCATTACGTCACTACGCTACAACTTCTGCGCAGATGTCCTCTTAATCTAACCTAACAAACCAGAGCCAATCCAACAGGGGTACTCTGCGTCAGCTGAACATGGCGACCTGCGCACTAATTTTCGAAATAGACCACGGATGCTGGAACAAACGCGTAATCGGCCACCATCACAAATATACGACTATATTAAAGAGGAGTTACGCACTCGATATATTTTAAAATAATTAATAATACTTAAGCCTAAGCAGACAACAAATGCAATTCAACAACTACAATTGCGTTAAAACATGCATAAGTGACGTGAGCCTATTGTGTTACGAGGTTCACAAGTAGGTATCTTTGAAGTATAAAGGTATGGTAGTGACTCAAAAACTAGATTGCTCTATAATTTAAGAACATTGAAATATTCGAGTTTTTAATTTCCCGCAATCGATAATAGAACTCATATGATGCCTTAACATAGACAACATGCACACGTCTCTGCGCATCACCTTCTGCGCAGATGTCCCATTAACCTAACCTAATCTAACTCAACCCTACAGCGGTAATCTGCGTCAGCTGAACATGACGACCTGCGCACGAATTTTCGAAACAGACCACGAATGGTTGGAGATTGCTGAAATTTTGTATGGATGTCGTGCCACATGGTTCCGTATGGTGAATATGATTATCCAAAATTGATGTGGCTATTTGCACATAAAATTCTTTTGTGTAAATACACATGTTAAGAATGAATCAGTATATATGTAAGTGAATAATTTTTGGTCCTAAAGGATATAATGCAACATAACAAAATTTTGGGAATAACATATTTTGTTTCTACAAACTTCTATCAGTCTACATGGCATAATAACCTATAAAACAGTCACTTGAACCTGAAATCAACCAATATAGCACACTCACCCTGTGCTGCATCAGCCTGTTACTTTGCGAAAACTGGCGAGCCATTCAGAAATTAACTGCTAGCTGTTACTCTTGAGGTAACAAATCCAGTTAACAGACAGAATCATGCTGTGACATGACTCCCAAGTCCCCTTGCAATTTACATCTGAGTATCCTCTGCAAAATCTCCTCCTAAAACAAATTTTTCTTTCATGTTGAAATAATCTACATTTCACAAAACGTGAACAATGGATATTAAGGAATCTTATAACATGCATGGTTATCTACAAACACAAAATGTCCTAACATGATCCAAATTTCAGTGATTTGGGGGAGAAGGGGTAAGAGTGTGCTTAGATTCCATCTAAAGTTTTATAAAAGGCTATAGGAATAATGGAGATTAAACTTATGTGTATCCAGTGAAAATACTGACAATATATCTTCACTTGCCTGGACATCATTGTTGTCACTTTCATAACTTCAGAGTTTGTAGTTCTATCTTTATTGAAAATAGTTAACATAAATCATGCATGTCAGTTCTAATAACACATAATCAGAATGTCACTACAGGTTCCCAGTCTCATTACATTGTAAGAAATAACATACATAATGATATAAATTTTTAACTGGCATTATGGTTATTTACAGCTTATATTGTCACTTTATTTTCTTATCATCCACTGACATGCCTTGCTTTCTGAAACTCATGAAGTTGAGCATTGTTGTGCCAGAAGAGAACACCTATTGATAACCTTATGGTTGGTCTCAGTTAATTTTTAACATGTTGGAATAACTTGCACTTGTTACTATGATTCCATGTTCCTGGTAATGTTCAAGGACAGAACTTTGAGAATCCTAGAACACCATCAGCATTAACTTCCAGGCTGATGGTTCAGTCTTGACATTTTGGCAGCAGGAGATGATGAGTGTTTCCACTGCATATTCTGATGTTTGCTTGTGGACAATAATGATGTATCCAAGTCTCACTGCCAGTGAAAACGCAATTCAAAACACTTGTTGCCTTCACTGTCGTACTGATCCAGCAGACGATAGCTCATGTCCACATGACTGTATCTGCTCTTTTGTCAATTTCTCTTGAACCCACCATGCACAAACTTTGTGGAGTCCACAAATATTACGTACCATTTAATTAGCCGAACCTTCACTGATGCCTAGTTTTGATGCAATGCCCTTTACTGTTATGCTTCAGTCCATGAGAATCATGGCTCTGGCTTGTTCTTGTTTGTCATCACTTGTTGCTGTGGATGGGCATTCTGAATCAGTTACACTTGTTGCTTATGGTGTCCACCACCATGGTGATGCAGGTAGCAAACACCTCTGAAATGTCAGTTTATACCAGACCAACTTCACTTTCGTCTGGCACCCACCCTCAAGCAATCTAATTGAATGTAAAATTGATTCAACTCACTCAGCCTATGCAGTGAGTATATCACATAGTTTACAATATTCATTTATAAAAAGCTTAATGTAAAAAATGGACATATTCACTGTATCAATAATCCCACTTCAGTCAATTTTACTCGTGTTAATTTTTTTATTTTAATTCAATCTCAACCCTTAGTTGGCACACTATATGAGACTGGTCTGAAGATAGTATTTTACTACCCAAACATGTCTCCAAAATAAAGTGTTTTAACAGTTAATTGTGCTGAAGGCCTCAATTACATTATAACCATATGATTCTTCCAGTTTAAGTGGTTATAAATTTGTAAACCAAGGAATTTTGAATGTACCGAGTCTTCCATGTACTTTTCATCATAATCAACACTTCACAAACACTGTGGTGAATTACTTTTTATAAACTTTATTATATACATTATAAAGAAAATATCTTATGGAATTAAATATCTACAAATTAATAATGCCGTCTTGTGAACAGTGTAGTCTTGGTGTGTACTGGTAGCAAATTTTTTATCTAAATGAAGTTATGAAATACAAGTTTATATGAAGACAATTCATACTAATTTCTTTCACTAGGCTTCTTGTATGCATATCCAATATAATCGAAGATATCTTCCTCTTTTGTTACAACTACAGGTTCTCCTGGAATACCTAGAAAAAGGAAAGAATGCTAGCTGAAATTCAAATCTGTGGAGAAGAACTGAACACATTTAGTTTATACAAAAGTATAAAACTAACAGAAAAAAGCAGCTGAAATATCTACCAGAAAGTGATATAACAAAAGTACAGCGAAGCATTGGAAACTCCTGATCTGAATGTGTTATTCATGATTTGCAAAGAGAGAGAGAGAGAGATCAGGATTTTACATGATTAACATCCTGAACAACACAACACAGGAATTTAAATTTTTCTCTAAACACTAAGTGCAATGGGTAAATAAAATATTAATATAAACAAAAATAAACAGCCATTTGTTACGAAGTACATGCTATTGGGAGTGTCATATTGAATAAATAACAGCTCTTCTTGTAGTTGTTTTGACTTGATAACTTGTGGTGCTACAATAATTTCTTCTATTCATCAATCATTTTGTACATACAGTTCATTGGAATGGAAGTCAGGCACACTGCAAGTTAGCTCTGGTAGCACACCGTACTTACACATACATGATCATGTAATCAAATCCTACTCATTTTCTTTTCCTCTCCCCTCCCCCCAACAAACATGCAGCCATCATGTTGTACCAAAGTTGTATATTTTTCAAAACTCTATTACCACACATCATTGTATGACCCTATTATTCATGGTGCTAGTGTTGATCCCCTTACCCACTTGCACAGAAAATTAAAAGTACAATTTTATGGTAGACCCCCATGGCATAATGGCCATACCAAATTTCATCCAGTGGTTCTCAGTTTTAATCACACAAATAGAAGGCAGACATGGTCAATCCTATAGATGTTCATTCTCAGCACAGCATGCAAAGAACACATAAAGTACACAAATAAAACAAAAATACTGTGACAACAGTGCATACCTGTGGAGCCCATGGGGCGTAATGTGTACTCATTCAGGGTGAAGCCATTTTCAAGAGCATGGGCTCTCATATTTTTATTAAAAAGATCAGAACCAGTGAAATAAAGAACACTGCAATAGTACTGGTCATGTGGGGTAAGTCGAATGTCCAAACGGCGTGCAGGGAAATACTGTACATCTCTTTTCCTTTTTTGAAGACTACATACTCCCTAGTGGATAAAGAAAACTTATCTTTACATTCATAATAAAAATATTATTAAACACTATTTTCAGAAACTGACTGAAAAGAAATTATTGTAAAATAAATTATGTTTTGCATTATGCTGGTCCAGTGTTTGATTATTAAAATATCAGCTCTATATAAATGATTAAAAGAATTTGAAGAAAATTATAGTATGTGACTGTAATCTTGAGACTTGCAAGGAATGCAGGAAGTCTGAAGTGTTATAGGCTGACGCTATCTTTCCTCCTTCACCCCACTTCCTCAGGCCGCAAGTCTCAAGATTACAGTATCACACTGTACATATGCCAGATGTGTAAACACTGAATTACTCATTACACCTGAAGTCACAGCAGTAATATGTTGATGTGTCTTCTGAGTAGTAAAATCACAAAACCAACGTCAACATTTAATTATCTAAACTGCCAGGCTCGGGGTTATCTCATTGCAGAAAACAAAAATGGGATGGAATTATTTATGTAAAAATAATAATGTAAGGGTTTACCTCAGGACTGCACAAATCCTGGGCACCAGGATATAACATGCAAAAAATATTTAAATTTCTGATACATATATGCATATTCTGACTCCCAAATTTACAGGAAATCAGTGCAGGTCTGGTATGACTAAATCCTTCTTTAAAAAATACATACAAAAGTTAATTTAGACAAACCAGTAAAGTGGCCCTTAAATTAACCTACTACACCGAGTTTTAATGACATCAGACAGTAGTGTGATCCCTGCTACATGTGAATGGCTGCACATACACAACTAAACAACAGATTTCTTTCAATACCTTTTATTTGAACACATCTAAAATATTTCAATAGCAAGTTTTATAATCACCTTCATGAGTTTTTACAAGACAAAGTATTTACCATATCTTTTCCATTTCTGACAAAATTGCTTTAACAAATGTTACATACATTTCAGACATCTATAATCATACAACCTTTCTCAATTAACTATATTTAACCATGAAGGACCTACAACTATAATTCTGCATAATCAATATTACCTGTACTAATGAACAATTAAAAGTACACTAATTGATCTAGTCTCTGAAGTGTTTGTAATCCATATGGCATTCAACTGAAATACCAATTACTCTGAACTCACGCAGACAGCCAACAAAAAAGTACTTTGTGTTGGTATGACATTTCATCCAACTTAAGATTTCAAGCAATGAATATTATCATTTTCAACACAGGAATAATATACATACCATGAACTTGACATCTCCCAAGGAAATAGTATCAATAATAATATTCTTTGATTCCAATAAACTGACTACTTGCTTCAGAAGTTGAGATCTTTTTTTACTTCCATCTGTGGACGTGTATGAAGGATGTGTTAAAAGTACGTCTATATCTCCACTTTCCAATTTTCCACGCCTATAAGTTTTAAACATAATTCACAATTTTACATGAACATGAGGATATTATTACAACCAGTACTAATTAAATACAGCTGATTCAGTCATTTATGAGGCAAAGTACCTGGTCTTTCAAAGGCATTTAAATGGTCAGAAGACATCAGTATCTCTCCAACCTTTCAATGAGGCCAGCAGCCCAGCTTCTTATTAATACACTAGCAATTACTATGGACCTTTTGTATGGAAACAATAGTGAAAATGATATTCACTATTACATACCTGTAACTACCACAAATAGTAACCAAATATTGAGGATCAAAATTGTTTATCTCCTTCTTTATAATTTCTTCTATTTGTTCAATTTCAAGCCTTGGAATTTTCTTCTCAAAATCTTCAAAATATCTGTAATAAGGATTACTTAATCAGGAATAATTTGTAACAATGAAGTAGTCTTCACTGATACTTATTTTTTAACTATAATAAATGCATATGCAGCCAAAATTCAATGTTAGCTGGCATAAGTATATGACAGGGCCTGTTACTGTGCAACAATGAGAAGTTCATGTCAGCCAGCGAATAAAAACCCAGACATTTCCAATGCATGAACACACTTTGTCACTTATGTGATAACTTCTGCAGCAGTTAGAGTAAAACATAATACATCATGCTGATCGAGCAGCGAGTGACTTCCACCTGTTCTCAGCACTGGATCAACACCTGAGAAGCCACAAATTTGAAACTGATGACATGAAAACAGCAGTAAACTGATAACTGAAATAACAGAAAGTTAATTCTCTTGACAAGGGAGAGAAAAATTCATTCCATATTATGAGAAGTAAACTGAACAACTGAAAAAGATAATCACATGGACACGAGGCAAAAGCAGTGCCCACTGTCCGAAACCCTTGCTAACTGATTTAAAAGGATTTGTGGAGAGGGAAAGGAAGCACTTACTTAAGACCTATGAGCTGATGATGATTTAGCTTATCTTCATGTTTGTGGAGATCTTCAATGGTTTTAACACCAATGTCCACAAGTTGTTTGGCTTTAGCTGGCCCAATCCCTGACACACGTGTTAGCAGATTAATGGCTGTGCTGCTGTCATCTTCTCGAATCTTGAAGAGGTTAAATGAACTATTAGTTAAAGACAAATACAAATAATACAGCAATGGTAAAAACACAGCAGAGCCCTTGCAGTGAACCAAGCCCATCAGCTCATGAAATGCTATAGGTTAGAATCAAGCATGGGAAGGCTGTGGAATGGACCAAGTGTGAAAAAGAATGGAGACAAGAAACAAGATGTGAACAAAAACAGTGGACTTGAAATGACAGGACAGGCAAGGATAGAAACATATATCATGCTCAACAGTCACAATAGCCTGTCCCCCAATGCCACATTTCCCACCACAAATCCCAATGGACTGCCCTAAATGTGAAATTAGGCTCTGCAATGAGAAGCCAGTGATTAATATGGTTTGCCTCATAATATAAGGTGTTTCATTAGTATTGGGAAACTAATTTTATTGACTAAAAAAGTTATATAGCATCAAAACAAGTTACAGAGATGATGAATGGTACAGTGGTAGGGATAATAGAGGAAGTGGTCATAGTCTGCTTCAATGTATTGTTCTGGAATTTTATTGCTTGAGGAAAACCGTGAACACTTTTCCAGACAATCGAGGTTAGGTTCCCAATTGCAAGGCAATTGCACTGTTGCTGCTGTCTGCTACCTATGCAATAAGTGCACCAATTGAAGTGTTGTGTAATTATACTCTTCAACAAATATTATCAAGATAATGAAATTGAGGGAGGGATAAGCAGGACATGACACTGACACATACATGGGGAGATGAGAAATGAGTATGACATTTTAGCCAGAAAACACAATAGAAAGTGACAATTTGGAAGACCTAGGCATGGATGGGAAGTTAACCAAATGGATTTTAAACATGAAGGACCTGTGCAATGGGGTTACAGTAAATAATGTCTGCATAATACAAAATTAAATGGAAAAAATACAAAATATAAAAATAATTCATTTAATTAGAAGTGAGTCAGACCAGCTATTCTGATTCAAATATTATACCATATATCTTGTTCAGAATTACAACAAACACTTCAAGTCCAAAGGTTTGTCTCTGTAAGAAGTGGGGATTAAGACTGGAAAGCAGAACAATCTACTTTTAATCTGACAGGGTCTTGAACCTGAGACATGTCCATAAACAAAACATAGTTTAGGGCAGCATTTATGAAATTTGTACCAAAAAACATCTACTCTACTGATAAATATTCAAACTTTATAAATAATGAACAGCAGTTTGTCAATTATATGTAGAACTCTAAATGGTCACATAAAATGGATAGTTATATGTATATTTAATTTACTTTAATTCTTCATATTCCTCTTTCTTAAATATACTGTTGACTATTATCTATAATATTTCATATTTTAATGTACTCTACTCTCTACTGTACTCTGTACTTTCAATTGTCACAATGTCCCATTTTTAAGTGTAATGTACTTACTGTGGTTTGATGTGTTTAGTTCTGTATTAATTCCATATCCCAGTTACCAGGATCCTGGAATGACTACTACCTATCTGAGGTAGAGGGCTCTTACCCCATACCATTAGGTCCCATGACAATTAAACAATAAAACTTAGCAGCTTGCAGCAACATCCACCTAACAATAAAATAAGACACATTTTTAAAGTACCTTTTCCAGCTTCTGTAATTTGCCTGTTTGAAGAAATTCATCAATTTTTTTGGAAATTTTTTCTCCAACACCATTTAGCTTTCGAGCCTCTTCTCCAGACTGAATACGTGTGGGATGAGCAGCTAATACAACAGCTGCATTGCGGTATGCATTATATTTATAAATATTACCATTTACATTTCGTTCATAATTTGCTAGCTCTGTAAAGCAAAAACAAAATAAGTTACTAAATGTAACTTTAGAAGTATGAAATGCTGAATCAGAGTTTAAAATACTAAGGACCTGAACACTAACAATAATTCACAACATTCAATTTGCACAGGTAACACTCGACATCAGTAATACAACAATTCTATCAGCACAGTAATTAGAATCATACAAAACTAGACTGATTAATTCACACATTCGAACCTAAACAAATATATCAATTTGAATTCAGTTAGAGTATATGGAAAAATGCTACATAACATCTTGCCATAATAATTACTACAAATGGAAAACTTATTATTTCACACCTTCTCAATTGTTCAAGACAATAATCTGGTCATGATAATGGGAAACTAGTTCAAAGTTAAAACCTCAGCCAAAAAACCGGCTAGCCTGATTGAGGTGTTCAAGGTTTTCTCCAGTACCCCAAAACAGACCATGACCATTTCTTCCCACATTCTTCTCAACTTGGCTACTTACAGCACAATTCTTATTAAGAAGCTAAGCCAGCCTGCTCAATAATTCCTGGTCTTTGTTTTAGATAGTGCAAACAATGCTAAATATTAAATGGGATATCCTTTTATAACCAGACAAACGAAGATAATGAATTACTTAAAAAATTATTAGTCAGGATTTAAACTGCGTAACTTTCCAAGGTGCAACTGGAAAACTAGCTTCAACATTTTATTCTTCTATTCTTTTACTAACTAACCTGTCAGAAAGTCACAAAAATCATGATTTGGGTTATTTTCACTGGCTGGAGCCTTCCTTTTACTCATTGTTCCTGCTTGCACAACTTTTTCATTACAGGCTTTTCATTTAATTATTTTTCGGAAGCATTTAACATATTCTACGGTTCGTATCTCATACACAAACGTCACTCTGTCGTAGTAACAAACCTAGAATCACAGATCAATAAAGGAGTTACACGATACAACCATTGACAAACACCTGTTGTGCCATCTATCCTGCTACAATGAATACGACCACAGCAAAGAACAGTCGGTAACATAGCCAACTACCATCAAAACCCATTCTTATGTTCTTCGAAATTTGTTTTTCCTTTCTTTCAGAATTCTTAATCAAACAGGCCAGAAGGCCTTTTTCACTGGAGACGAGGAAAAACTGGCCAACTTAATGTAACATATGTCAAAACTGTGGAGTGTAATAGGTAGAGCATACAATAAACAGCTTATATATTGAAGAATTCCGTCTATAACCAATACATTTGGCCCTACCAACACTTATGTTTGGTTTAACCAAAGTATTATTTATATGTGGGGAAGTTGTCTTATTTTTAACGTGCTGAAAATTAATAAATTAAAAGTATATGTACTTCCATCTGCTATCATCTCTCCACCAAAGAAATCTGCTGTATGAAAGAAACATAACACATAAGAGCGTTTCTACAAACACTTACATTCTTATTATCAAGATCCATACATCTAACCAGGCTATTTTTCACTTAAACATGTAGCCCTATATAAAAGGCCAACATTTCAGATTTCACACAGAATAAATTTTCAAGAAAGACAAAGTCAGTCAACAGATAAAGGCACATGTTTACAAGTAAGTCATAATTTATCTATTGTATATAATGGGTGGATTTATTTGTAACTTATCTCTACTTCATGTGAATCCTTTGTTTGTATTTTTGTGACATTTATATGACTTGTATTTGTATAACATGTATTGTATTATTATGACTTATTCTACATCCTATTGTCATCTGACTAACTCATGGATCCATGGAATGTAATAAAGATGTATGTATGTACTAAACACACTTCATTTTATGTATATGGGAAATATTCTGCCACTTTTATTTTATTTCTTTTACAAGAATTTTATTTAAAGTGTTAAGAATACAACAATAAATAATGGCACAAAACACTATTTTCTCTTTAATTATGGTCATAAGTCCCAAGGCAAACCATTCTGGCTCCATCACAACTAATCTGATACTGAATTTACATTTATAGTCTTTAATCTACTATAGTATCCCTAACTGCGAAATAAAATTATTGGGCATATCCACACATTTTAATTGTAAGTGTTGTAAGAAGTCATCCACTTGAGTGAAAATCCTATCTTCCTTACAGGAAATTATTTATCAAAATGGACACTGTACATACTGTTCTGCAAACAATTATACAAGTTAACAAAACTGCTTTTCTCCACCAAAGTTTATTACACTATTGCATTATTGCAACATTTTACTAGAGTCACTTTTTGAACAATATGTTTCCACTGTCATGCAGTTATCATCAGGTTCATCTTACAAACTCTATTTACACAAAGTGGTCCACTATCTAACGAAAAAATTTGTGATTTTCATTGTCGTCAAAAAATGATATCAACAATGTCACCTTATATTTGTTTATACTCGGCATTGTTGTGTTCCACAACAATGCCGAGTAAACAAATAATGCTTCACAACAAAAACTATCAAGCCAGTCGCATGTCACTGCTCCAGAAGCAGCATATCGCATTCTTGAAAATTGACTGACAGTTGGCCTAAAACATCAGAAAAGTGAAAGAAGACGTTATCAACTATTTGAAGTACCAACTCCAACAAGGTAAACTGATAATCATTCGATAAATTACGATTACGAAAACTATTATGAAAACTAACTTTATGATCGATTTTAAGACGAAGATTTGCAAGGGGGGTTGGTCAAGTGTTTTAACCCCCATTCTGGGTTAGCTTAGTTTCTTACTCAAGAGTTAAAACACTTGAGTGAGACACTAAACTAACCCCCTGAAGGGAGGGTTAGTTTAGTGTCTTACTCAAGGTTTTAAAACGCAATCAATCCCACGAAGGGGGGTTGGTTGCGTTTTAAACACTTGACCAATCCCCCGAAGGGGGGTTGGTCAAGTATTTTAACACCCCATTCGGGGGGTTAATTTAGTTTCTTACTCAAGGGTTAAAACACTTTAATGAGACACTAAACTAACCCCCTGAAGGGAGGGTTAGTTTAGTGTCTTACTCAAGATTTTAAAACACAACCAAACCCCCCAAAGGGGGTTGGTTGCTTTTTAAATACTTGACCTACCCCCCAAAGGGGGTTGGTCAAGTGTTTTAACCCTCATTCGGAGGGTTTAGTTTAGTTTCTTACACAAGATTTTAAAACTTGACCAACCCCCCCGAAGTGGTTGGTTGCGTTTTAAAAACTTGACCAACCCCCACGAGGAGCTCGGAAAGGAGCGCTCTGCTCTAGTCTAACGAACCTTTGTGCTGTGTTGGATTAACCTTCATTGTAGTGGAATAAGGGATTGTTGCTGGCCAGACTTCAACTCTGGAGTTAATGGTTTGTGATGTGCATGAAGCTGGGCTCTGTTTATGAAGTCCCAGCACAACAAATATGTTTCATATATGCCTTCTATGAAGATGTTATTGTTATTTATATTAATTTAACTCATTAACCTAAAAATATCACATTACACTACAAAAGTACAGCAGCTTGTATAACTGATGAACAACAGCATGACGGTTGAACACATCGTTCAAAAAGTGACTCTAGTGAAATGTTGCAATGCAATAAGTACTGGTAAAGTTGTGTAATAAGTGACAGTGTAGTGGAATTATAATTATAACAAAACCAAATGCCACAATATAAGCTTATTAAAAAGAATGCTTTGTGTTACATACTTACTATTCTTCTAAGCTTATGCCTAAACTTAAAGCACATATGCTGAAAAAGCATCAATATCATGAATATACATGCCATAATGAGAGTTATGACGTAAACATAAAGCTGTGTGAAGCGGGAAGGTAGCCACAGGACAGCATAGAGCATGGTATCAGTATTACCATCTGAAAAATACAGACAAATGTTATGTACAAAGCAGAAGGCAGTGAAACAAAATTCATTTCAGTAAAAGAAGCATAAGATCACTGTCATTTTGTATGTGTATATATTATTTAGTGAAGTTACATCAAGATCTACCAGGTGCCATAACACTGAAAATTATATGATGGACATGAAAAAGAAATACATAAAGCATGTGTGAGTAAGAAGTCATTAAAAATACAAATAGAGTTGAAATAAAAACACTAAAAATTGATGGTAAGAAGTTCAATAACCAACAAACTATTGCTGAAAAATTTAATAATTATTTTGTTAACATTGCAGAGAAAATAAAACTACAAGATATTAATAATCCCGTAATTGCAAATGATATTAATGATGATGAAAATTATATTCATTTCATGAACCAAGCTTTTTCTAATCCATACCCAAATATGAATTCCAAATG